AATTAAGTTATTTTGAAGCACTTCTTTAACTGACACAGTGTGATAGCAAGTTAGGAATAGACTGCTGTCCTGGTATGTCTATCCTATTTCCAGTTGTGAGAAAGGCTGAGCCTTTTGTCCTGTGAGATGATTTAGGATGGGGGTGAAAATACAGTCCACCTCAGAGTGCACAAGTGGCTGAGAATAAGCAACCCTGGCTAAAGATGGATCCCAGGCCTCTGAAGGTGGGATGAGAAGAGAAGGACACTGCAGAACCTATGGGAAACCAAAAAACCTCGCCTGCAATTACTTGTGACAACTATAGTCTGATTCTCTCTGCCACAAGTTCCCGCTTTCTGCTAACCTTCTGAAACTGGTGTAGATTTTTAAATTTGTATTTTCTTCTGCACTGTGCAAGTTGCACATAAATCATCTCAGGAAGGAACTTAGTTTGGCCCTTTACAGTGATGACAAACCAAGGGTCGAAAGATCCCCAGTTTCCCCAGGGATTAATCACCTCTCAAAAAAGAGAAATGTACATTTTAGTGGGAAGGAAACAAATTCATACTTTATTTCTACAGATTAGGCAAAATACCAGCTGTTCGCAAACATGACTGTTCAATAGTTCATTTAAAATATAGCAGAGTCACTGTTTGCTGGCTTACCCCACTGAGCAAAACACTATGGTGCATAGAAGCCACTGGGTAGTGATTCAGACTGACATTTTTTATTTGTAGGGCAAGTTCCCCTGCATTTGGGTGATGTGTGGCTCCCCACAGTGCTCCAGCAGTCTGCACTCTGCACCAGTAATGCTCTGAGTGGGTTTTAAGCAGGCACATCCAAGTCATGTGTCCTGTGGAGATCTGGGATGATGTACATGGCTATCCTACAGGCTGAGAAAAATGAGCCAATACCAATGTGCAAATGGAGCAAGAACTTTGGAAGGAGAGAGGCCTCAGCCTCACTGCAGGGGCTGTTGGCTCTCTAAGGAGCTTTAAGACCTTGTGTCTTTGCTGGGGAAGAAAAAGCACAGCTCAACAGCTGATGACATGCAGGACATCATGGTGGCATCATCAGCTGCCATCTTGATCTTGACCTGTTGGTACTTGCCACCAGACTGTGTTCTGCTCTGGGAGTCAAAGCTTTGCTTAATGTAAATAAGGGAGCTCCATTTGCTCCCAGGTTACTGTGATGCAAACAACAGCATCACCTCCAGCAATTACCATGTGATTTATATGCCCTGAAGAAAGCAGGGAAAGCAGCTGTACTTCCCAGATGTTGGTGAAGTTACTGCAAAAAAATACATGTACTGGTGTGGGTCTCAGATTCAGTCAAAGAAAGAAACTGAGAGTTTCTAGCCAGGCAAAAAGCCTGGGAAAGAGCTGTGAAAGAATGTAACTAATTCTTTATCTCTCTTGTTTTTCACATTGTTTATAGTTAAGTTCTATCACTGTGCGTCAAGCAGTCTGCACCAATGCAGTGGTTTGTTTTCACTTCAGAACCAATGGATTTGGCCTTTGTGAAGCTCTGTATAAAAGAGCAGTGTATTTTGAATAAATCGGAGTTCTACTCTCAGCAGCCTTCTGAGTCAGAGTCTTCTCATTCCCATCCTGCCTCGACAGCGACATACTGGAAGAATGTTCATCAGATGAAAATGAAGAGAAAATGCCTCAGTAACAACCAGAACATAAAGACTGATTGCCCATCCTGGTACAAGTAGGAAAGATGGTGAGGGAATACGGAAAGCACCTCCTCATTTCATTGATGATCTTGAGGACAATACATAGTCAGCACAGATCAGATTTTCTAACACCATCAGAAACAAAGGAAAGTCATTCAGGAAAGGGGAGACAGAGGAGCTGAGTCCACTTGCCTATGATCTGGAAAGCTCAGAGTTCTGGAGCACACACAGTGAGGACAGAAGTCTACAAAAGTTCTAGAGACAGGAAGTAAAGAACAAAGCTACAGAAAACCCAAGAGCTGATAGCGGTAGCAGTGTTACTGAGATCCTTGCAGAGCAACAGAGCAGTGAAGAATGTCAGTTGCTACTCTTGGTAGTGTGCAAAAGAATTATTATGTTTCTCTGTTCTTTTTCTGGGATTTCAGTTATTCATATAGAGCTTTGATGTTTCTAAATACTCATCTAGAAATAATGTACCTGCAATCCTGTTTGCTTGAGGTGCAGGGACAAGTGGGAAAGGGAAACAGTCTCTGGAGCTTTAAAATGATAGTGAAAAGTTTGAAAGAATTAAAATAAAGGACACAGGAAATACCCCCAAAATTGAAGTAAACATCAGAGCAGACATGACAGAGTAGCACATTCCAGGAAGAAAGGATAAGGAACCATCTGGGGACCAGTCCCAACAAAACAAAAAAGCAGTTTTTTACATTCTTATGGTGTAGTGGTGGGACCTGAAGAAGGCTGTGGCAAGGCAAGCAGGGTGTATTAGCAGATGCACTGGGAATGTATTTAAATAATGCTTCAAAAGGCAGCCATATGTTCAGGTATTCACAATGGCTCTTAAATGTCTCCTGCCTATATATCAATACTTAGGCTCTCAAAATTGATATTCCAAGTCACTTCCTGGAGCTAACTCAGGTTTTAAAACCCTGCCTGACTTCTAAACCATTATTTCGCATTCCTGTTTAGCAAAACCCAGGAGTGTCTACGTCCCAGAGTAGGCTACTGTGCTGTGGATATTGCTAAGGAAAGGCAGAGGAATAGAGCTTTAAATGCTGCTGTCTCCATGGGAGCCTAGAGTAGCTGTAGGAGCTGGAGCAATGCTAGCCCAGACATCCTCAACAAGGCTACACCTTTCTGGCAAGAGATGCTCTACCCTGTGCTCCCATGCCAGTCCAGGCAGCCTCCCATGGAGCCAGTGCAGCTCAGCAGTCTCTAGTCCTCCAGCTGTGTTTATACTCGTGTTTATTCCAGGTATAGGTGTTCTTTAGCTCTGTTCACCACATAATGAACACATTCCATCCCTCTTCCTTACTTGCTTCCTTCCCTCACAGTCACTGGCTGCTGAACAGGACTTCTGTTTTAATGGCTGCTGTGCTCCAGCATGATCAGGATGTAGAATTTTGCCTTCTCATTTAATGATAAGATCCCTAATGCAAGAAAAGACCTTGTGAGTTACCATCCCTGGCAGAGTAACTCCTACAGAAGGACACCCCTGGCCAAACATAAACCAAAAAGAGGGTGAGCAGTGAAGGAGTGATAGGAGAATAAAATATTACCTCAGTCTTCAGTGCTTCTGGGAACCCTAACTCCAGTTGGCAATATTGTTGCATCATCTCCTGCCATGGGATATTATCTTGCCATCAGAAATGCTCTGAATTAAATACATAGCTTTTCTGGGATCCCTCTGTACTGATGCCGTCCATGGAAATAAGCCTTGATGTAAAGCAATTGCTCTTCTGCTGCTAGGACTATCGGGTGGCAGGGAGCAGCTGAACATGCCTTTCTCAACATTCACCTCATGCTTGTACATTATTCAAAGGGGGAAAAAATAGCTTCATCTTTAGAGAGGCTGAAATTGCTGATTTCTTTTCTGTCCTAAGTAAAATGAGAGCTAAAGACTAGGAAGAAGTAGAACAAGGTGCCAGGTTAGGTGCACTGCCCAGCAGAGCAAGACATGAGAGACCCGACTGAGCCTCCCCTCGTAACACTGGAAAGAGCAGTAGGACAGTGCCCTGTTTGAAGGAAGCACCTAGGTTTGCAAGTTACCTCTATAGGACTCCTTAGGCAGAACAGATAAAGGAATATTTAGTCCAAGGATAAGTGAAAAGAGAGGTTTAATAATTGCCTTGCAGTATTATCTGTCCTGGGTAAAATGTCTAGCATTTGAAGCAGAGGATCAGAAGTTAGAATCCACATGTTTTCTTTCTGATTCAGTCTATAACTTTTCTGTGTCTCTGTTTTCCATTCTGTCACGTTCTTAAAACCTGCTTTGTTTCCAGAAATGTAAACTAGTCAGTTATACTCACTGAGGTACATATATGAAAATAAGTTTATGATTACCTTGTTTTTAATATTACTAGATAGATCACAACTGTGAAATCAGATAACACTTTGTTCTGCCCTCATGTTTGTGCTTGAAATACTCCATGTGTAGCAGAAACCAGGAAAGATATTCACAATCAAGGTCACTTCAGGTCCGTCACCCATATACTACACTACCTTTTTCAGTACTTTATTTCATGTGGAAATGTCTTGACTATCAGAGATGGCACTACAAGGAACTGTTTCAAGAGCTAATTTACCATCTTCTGCCAGTCCTTGTTGCCAACACCTAAAAAATTATCAATTGTACCTGAACTCACCAGCTGCTGCCAGTCAGACATGGCATCCTTGCTCAAGTGAGTGCCTGCAGGGAAAGCTGATGTGGAAGAGTCCCTCCCTGAGCTGGACAGGGTGAGAGAAATAAATCTGTTTCTGACAAGACTCTATTGCATCTATGCTGTATACAAATTATCTCTCATCATCCTGAATTGTGTAATACTGCATGCCTCTGTGTCCATGAAGAGCTGCATTGAACAGAGGGCTCCTTGGGAGCCTCTTGAAATGAGTGTTTTGTGCTTAACAGGTAGCTAAGGAGCAAACTCAGCTGCCATAAGATCTCTGGAAAGCCAGGGAAATTTAACTTCCAAGTTTTTTCCTGACACCATCATGTCACCTGAGTCTTCTTAGCCCTAAGTGTTGAAGAAACCAATGACACCCATCCTTTTTCCAGCACATAGAGGTACTAGAGCACATCTGGTTGAATGGCTGTGGCCTCTGTGAGTGAATCCCAGACCCCTGACCCCAGACCCTTTATCTTATCTTTTTCTTAGGATGCCTTGGGTGAGGTAGACCTCAGGGCCAAAGCTGCAGCAGGGAGCCCTGGTCTCTGCAGGTCTGATTTGACTGGTGCTCCTTAGTAAGCTAGAAGAGCTAACCCACCTGGCATTTGCAGGAATCAGGCTTTTGGAAGCAGAATCCAGCACAAGGAAAAGGCATGGAAGTTTAGAGGACTTACTGGCCTGCTTGGCTTTCTCTGTGTAAGTGGTGGTTAGGTCTTCATCAATCGGATGTTCCACTGGCCCCACCATGGGGATGAGATGGCGTTCCGCTCGGATGGCCTTGGTGGCATGGGGCAGGAGCATTGCCTCTGGAGAAGGCTCCCGACCCTCTGTTGACGGTGGCCGCAACTGTCCCTCGCTGTCTGAGAATGGAGTGTCTGTGCGACTGCCAGGCAGGCAGACAATCTCCCTCTTGGCCACCCCACTGGAGCTGGCCAGCTCTGCTCCCCCCTGCGCAGCAGCCTCCGGCATGCTCTCGTAGCCACTCTGTTCCGACAGGGACACCTCGTCCTGAGGCACGTCCGCCCTGCCGGTGGTGCTGTCAGGTGGGGAGCGCGGGCTCTTCTTGCGAGCCCGGCGGTGCTTCTCCTGCGCCACGTTGTCAGCGTCGCTGTCTGTCTCACCATAGTAGGCCTCGCTGTCCGGTGGGGACGTGAGGCTCTCCAGGTGCCTCTGTGACCTCCATGGCTGTGAGGGCTGTGTGGTGGCTGGGGCTCCTGCTGGTTCAGAGCTGAGTAACTGTGCTGAGGGGCTGGGCACGGATGGTGAAGAGAGCACTCGCTGCCCTGGAGAAGGGGAACGCTGGAGCCACGGGCCAGTCTGGTCCCCACCAACTATCCTGTGGGGAGAAGGAAAAGTGGTGAGTGAGGTTTCGTTTATGTAGCTAAACTGGAAGGAAACCCTGGCATGAGAGAAGGCGATGGACTGGGACAGTGTTACAGGTGTTTTTCAGGTGGTACGGACACCTGAAGTGTAGATGCCAAGGACAGTCGTATCCCTGACATCAGCTATGTGCTCTCATTTTGATTTTCTGCTTCACAGCTCTATGGAAACCAGGTGTTAAACATTCAAAAATCAGAATGCCCTAAATCTACCAAGCCTAATCAGCTCCCCAGGCATTTCTCCTGGAGAGATGAATTCCTGCATAGCAAACATTCCCCAGGACAGTGAGACCTACCCTTCAGCCTGCGGCTTGTCAGCAGAGAATGGCTGGTGCTCAGCTATCACACTGCACTCCAGCTGCTCCTGCAGCTGAGACTGTGTTAGATCTGCAGATCCTGGCACTCCCAAACTGCTTTAGTTCAGACTGAGCTCCCAAGAAGTCTGTGCTATTTGTTTGCTCTGACCTCTACATGAGAGTAAATAGCAAATAAGATATAAAGGCCCAAGTGGTTTTTGGGGATAGGACTATGGTATCTGGAGGTAGGAGACCACACTAATATTTAGCCTGCTCACTGTGGGACTGCTTCACAAGCTAACTATCAGTACCTGGGTTTTGACAAACATATGCAGTCATGCTGGCCAGCCCAATCCATGGTGACATTTGCCTTTGGCTTAGACATAGCAAGTTCAAACCTCTAAGACATCTGGAAGGATGACTGGAATAGGTGCCAGGCAGACTGGGGCAGTCAGCCCTACTGCTGGCTTCAGAGGGAAGAAGAATTGGCTGTGCTGACAGAAAAAGAGCCCATTCTATCTTCCCTCTCCTCAAGAGTGACTCTGGACTTCCATGGCAGTTTGACTTCAGCCCACACAGAGAGAGCTGGGAACTTGTTCCTTCTCTTGTCAGACTCACCAGGGCTTATAAGATCTATAAAGGAGTCCTAAGTCTTTGCCTTCTGAACATGCATACCATGAAGCCAGGCAGATAGCATTGCCTCTCTAAAGCTGTGCAACTCATGACTTGGATCCCAATTCTAAAATGTGAAAAAAATTTATTTATGTCAAATGCAAACTTTTGTGGAAGCTAAGGGTGGGGGAATTTCTCTGGCATTTTTTTTTTTTTTAATACTATTTGCCATTATGAAATCTCACTGGTGAGCAACCTCAATATTCCACAAGCAAAATGAAACAGTTCTTCCTCTTCTTGAAACACTTGATCAGATAACTGAGAAGCGTAACTGCTTGTAAGCCAGTTTCTCTTTTTCTGTACTGTCAGGTCAGTGTTTTTCCCTTCCTCTTTTTCTGACATACACATACTCCAGAGTCATCCAGCTACCTCTCCTTTCTGAACAGGAATGATTGGTGTTTTCTCTGGGAATGTAAAGATGAAGTAGGAATAGACATGTGACGAAGAAAGCAACATTTGATGATTTCTCCACTACTCCAAATGAAGCCAACTGATTTAATTATTTCCAAACCATCCAGTGTTGGCTCCATCCAGAGGGATGCAAGAAGCCTGCCTTTGTCACTAGGTTCATTCAAAGTGTGATGATCTTGACCGATTAAAATTTGCCCAGGCATCTGTTTGCCGAAGATAGGCTCCAATGGTGCGAGATAAGGCCTTGGCAATGGACCAGGACCTATTCTGGACACCTTGTATAGAACTTACCCATCCCAACATCAGAAAGCACTTTCTCTGAAACCAAGGGAAACTTCCTCCTACATGCTCAGGCTTTCCTTCTCTGAGCACTGCCCACCTCTGCTCCTGCTTTACAGATGACAGCAACCAGTGTGGCTGTCCCTTCCCAATGCTCACAGTGCTCTCTCTGTCTTTTCAGGACTGTGAAAGATCACATCTCCCAGCCCCCTTCACCAGGCCTGATTTTCTGAGGGTGACTTCTGTTTAGGCAGTAGTGTGGACTGGCTAGGACCTCACACAGCTTTGCTGCCTTCACCTTTATAGGATTATTCATTTATAGCTTGGGCCACATCCAGCATGCACTGACGCACTGGGTTAACTTAGCACAGGGAGGACAAGGAACATTACTGGGACTATTTTTTGTCCATAAATTTCAGCCTGATCTCCAGTATTGCCCTGAACTAGAGACTAGCACAGATATTTCTTCCCACAAAAAAAGGGGTTTAGCCACTTACCTCTCATTATGGGAGTCAGTATGCAGACTGTTGGACTACAAGAGTCCACTGTAAGACAGGGCAAAACATTGAGATGTCGACATGTTAGCCAGGTTAGGACATGGGTAAGTCCTCCTAGTACACTTTGCAGTATGGTGAAAACAAAGGCCTCCTGCCTGCCTCGTTTCTGCTGGATGTGGGCAGCTGCTGTACTGGATGAAAGCACCCTACTGCCTGCACTGTCACAGCACTGGCACTTGGGAGCAGGTTACCTTTTCACACGGATGTTGAGCATGCCGTTGGAGGAATCGATGATCTGCATGGCATTAGCATGGGACAGGCCAGCACATGACTTCCCATTGATAGATACTAGAACATCATTTTCCCACAGGCCTCCACGGCACGCTTTGCTTCTCTTTCGAATCTGAAAAAGCAGGAGAGAGGATAAGGATGAAGGGAAGAACAGCAGCTATTTAATTCAGTTGCTGGCCCTTCTATTGCTCCATTCCTCACAGAATAAAATAAGGCCTAAGAATACTGTGCTGACAGAGTGGAGCTCTAATCCTCTTGGATGAGCCCTGGCTATGTGCCCTGGCTATGGCCTGATGAGCACTGGCTATGCCTTTTGGTCTCTGTTAACTCTGTTAATTTAATCACTCTGCTGGGCATAGGCCTGACCTGATCACCAACGCCGTTCAAGTTCTTTACTGCAGATGAAAGACTCAAGAATATCAATGTGCTCTTTTCCTCTTGTTCCCTGTCTCCTAAGTTGGTTAGGGAGTCTATGTTTCAGAGAGGGAACAGACTATGCCTGCACATGTCCATGTGTCCTTCTGCGTGCCTCTACTGTACTTCCTTGGAATGATCCCTGACCCATGCAGAGCCTCTGCAAGTATCATCCTCAGGGAAGCTGACATTGGGGAGAGGTGGTGGTTCCAAGGCATATTCTGGTGTTAAGCATTCCTGCTCCAATGGCTTTGGTCAGTGTATTTCTGGACATCTGCATCAGGCTATATGGTGTCCTGTTACACAAGTGTAAACTCAGAATAAATCTTTAGTCTTAACAGGAGTTGTGCAAGATATGCATTGCTTTATCTGAGAAGGGAGTCAGAGTCACTGGTTCCAGGCGAGCTCCTAGATCTGACCTCTCATGGCCATCTTGCACGAAATATTTACTCTCCCTTTCATTCCATCATCCATCAGTTAAACTTCTTACCAACTCAGCCTAGCCTTTCTGCTAGGGCAAGCAAGAAAGCAAACCCAAAGCAAATGCCAACTCAGCCAAAAACCACAGACCTCTCCCACATAGACAAGCAATGGGGATAGTCTTGTAGGACAGCTTGGCACCGATAATGTACTCATTTTTCACATAAAAGAATAGCCAGGTAAAATCACTGGGTCAGAGCAAGTCAGGAACAAGTTCGTTTTACACTCTATTTGTAGATTCTTCTACAATATTTCTTCAGATCTTGCAGTTAAGTGAATGACAAATCAGTGCAGAGCTGTTTAACAAAGGGTGCAGTGAACAGACTGTGTCAGATCCCTGCAGAGAAGTAATACTCAACAGGGCACCTTTGCCCATATCTCACAACCTTGCTGCTTAAGCCACCAGACTCATCTATACCTACTCATCTATAAAGCTACTTTGCCCACACTCCCATGGCAGCTTCGGGAAAGAGAAGTGAATGTGAGAGGATTGCTGCCCTGTCACTGTTCTTGCAGGAGCAGCAAGGGAGCAGGAGAGGAGAGAGATGGAGCCCTAAGGAAGTCCCATGGCTTGATTGGGTTTTTGTGGCCCAGGCCCCCTGCACCCATGGAGCGTGTGAGTGCCTTGGGCTTGACCCTGCTGGCCTGTGTTGAGCAGACAAGAGCAACACTCCTCCCAGGTCAGCCTGTCAGCAGGACTGAGAGGTGTTGGAGAAGAAGATGGAAAGAGGAGGGCCATGCTTCAAGCTGTTTTTGTGTTCGCTGGTACTTTATCACTCTGTACCCTTTCCAACTTGACCCCAAATCTTGCCTGCATGCTTAAAATAGGGACTGGCTCATCCCAGCTGCCACATCCATCAGCCTCTGTCATTTTAGTCCTTTATCTCCCTCCTTGTTAATATAAGCCTGGAATGAGCATGTGTAGGTCTGTAATGAACTACAGCTGAAGAACCACTGTTACAGTATAAATGCTGCTTCCTAATACTTCCTCCAGATGCAGCTGTTAACTGAGAAGGTAAAGAAGGCACATTTTCCAGTGCTGCCTTCTGACACAGCAGCTAATGAAAAGAGTTAGGAAGGTGAAAAGAAGTTAAAAGAAGGGTTTCCCAGTATTCCCCAAAAGGCCAACTGCTGCTCCACAGCCAAGTACTTGGTGCTTAGCACTGGATGGGAACATACTTGCTGAGTATCTCTCCCAGTTGTGAAGTGAGGGGATTGGAGGTTAAAGGCTGTCAGCAGGTGCTCAGAACATTCCTCACATGCCATGGTATTCCTCCCTGCTGACTGGAACCAAGGATGTAGGCTGGTGACCAGCCAGAACAGCAACAGTAAACTTCCTGCAATTCTCTAGTACTTCAGTACTGCAAGTCTTTGCAGGCCACTGTTTGGGGTTCCCAGGCAGGAATTATCAGGCTGTGCTCCCAACACTACCTGATGCTGTTTCAGGTACCTTTATACCAGAGAAGACTGGTGGGATTCAAGCAGCCCATGTGGGCTGATAATCATGAGCAGGCAATGCATTTTTCTCATGGTTAGTGAGGATGCTGGGTCTGGCTTGGTCTGTGCTCAAATCTTACTGGACTGACAGAAAGCACATGCACTAAAGCAACTATTGGTATTTCAGTGCTCTACAATCTAGGAGGGACTTTTCCATGTCTCCATTTCTTTCTGGGAAAACAGGACCAGGTCTCTTCCAGTGCAGGAAGCGACCTGTAGAGTCTGAAAATAGCATGTGCCTGGCTCAGTCTTCTACAGATTTATAAACCCTCCTTGGAAGTTTATGAATTTGCTTCCTGGGATCAGAGGGAAATGAACTATCCACAGCTTCATTGTTATGCCAACCCCTACCCCACTGCATTTGCCAGGGAGGAAGGCAAAGGGGTTAAACAAAGAAGAGGATTGTGCAAAGAAGGGCAGGGCAGGACTTAATCCACAGCCAGGACAGCAGGGTGCAGTGTGCTGGAGGCTGCAGAGCCTCTGGACAGAGACCAACACAAGCCTGCCAGTTTTTATATGACTGCCAGCTCTGTGCTGTAGAGACTTTAATGACAACCCGTAACCTGCACATCTTGAGTACAGCGAGAGCAGCACTGAGCCTCTGAGGTCCCAGGCCAGGGTGGCTGCTCAGTCCAAAAGCCAGGCTCCCTGCCCATCCTGAAGGTCAGGCTGCCCTCAGGATCAGCCACTTGCTCCCTATGTCCAAAAGATGCCCTCTCCTGGGCACCCAGTGATCCACACGAAGTGTCACTAACAGGGAGCTTCTGCTTAAGCTGCAGAAAGCTTTGAAGGTGTCACCCAACAGCTTTTCTGAAGAGATGGGAAAAGTTGGAAAAAGTGGTGTTTCTAAGAGAAAACCTCTCTGCTTTCTGTGACACATACCTGAAGAGCTTTCTTGTGCAAATGAGCAGCAGCACTGACAGACTGACAAGTGGTCGGGGTTGGCCCCAGACCTGGCCCTGGGGGATTGCACTGTCTGACCTTCTAGCACATACTGGCAAGAATTGACCTCTTCTTTTGTGTGAGGAGCCCCACAAGTTCTGTGAGCCTCTTGAAACTGACTGTGATAGACTTTCCATCCACTCCATGCTGCAGTAGACACACTTTCCCATGGCATACTCACATCAAGATATGTCCTGTTTAGATTTCAGATAGGTTTAAGAAATTCCAATTTCAGAGTCTTATGGATTCATGCTACTGGAAATACAAATCAGTGTAAAAAACTGGAACACATTTAATCAGAAAATTGTCCATCTCCCTGCCCTTTCAGCAGGAGATCTGTAGCAACAAAAGAGCTCTTGTCAGAGAGGTTTGGGTGTCTGCAGTACCTATGTACATGCACATACACACACATTTTCTTTCATTACTTTGCCTGCTTCCTCCCACGGATCATGTTCAATCAGAAGGGAAAGGACAGAGGCATCTGAGACTAAAAAATAATAATTAAAAAAAAAAAAAAAAAAAGGAAAAGAGTAATGCAACAATTGAGGAGGAAAGGAATAAGAAAAGGTGTTGAAAGGAAGGCCAGTGCTCTAGGAGAGGCCAGGAAGGCCAGGATTGAGATCAGGCTTTAGCAGTACAGTACAGGTTTCCTTGTACAGCCCTAGGCAGACAAAAGGACATGCTGACTGTTGACGTGTCTTGGGGAATTCAGCCTAGCTTTCAGGAACAGAATGCAAGAGAGGAGAGGGTCAGATGCAACTTGGCAGCATCTGTCCTTCAGTAGGGACTATATTTAGATAGTGGTATGTGGGGGCTGAACACATGCTGGGATGCTAAGAATAGAGTAATCCTGATAGTAACTCAGTGGTTTTACATCTTGCTTCAGTACAGGCCAGGGAACCTGTCTTGAAACTTTGCAACTACTCTCCCTGCTGGCCAGCACAGCTTCTTTGTCATGAAGTAGGCTGTGGGAAAATAGACGTGGTTTGTAGTGTAGGCTCATGTCATCCATTTCTCCCCTGCCTTCCCAAGCCACTTTCCACTTCCTCTCACTGGGGGAGCTCAGCCTGTAAGGTAGGATGATAAAATTGATTATCAGTCTTCACCTAATCTCCTACAATTTTTCCAGCAGAAACCTAGTAGCCTCAGTCTAAGTCAGAGTTTCATACTGAATACAATTCATCTTCCCACCCAATGCCCTTCCACTCTCTGATCGCATCTCTCAATGAGCCATCCCCTTCCCCCACAGAGCTATCCCCTTCCCCCAGAAGTTATAGTGACATGGGGTCCAAAACTCTACACAACTTGGCAGTGTTTAAATTTCATTCCCAGCTTTCTGTGAAATGCAATCCTGTCACAGGGTTCTCATGGGGAGATAAGAAATTACTTTTTGTGGTATAAAGCATTACCAAAATGGAATGACTCAAGCAAGAGCCAACCAGCATGTGGGCCTGCTCCTCCTAGAACTTCCTGCTCAGCTGAACCACAAACAGAGCAGTTGGTAGATGCAAAAGCAGAAACAAACACCCTTCATCTCTTCTTCTTTCTGAAGATGTGTATTCATATCATTTTGGTTATTGGGCCAGTTTGGTTTTCATCCAAGGCCAGGGTTTACTCTTTTTGTGTAAGGAAGGATACTGCTGTGACTAGAGCGAGGAGATGGCTAGAGTGGGATTCAGAAGACCTGGATAATTTTTTGTGGGACCTCAGCGAAGACACTCAGACTGTGAGTAAAAGGCAGGAGCCTAGAAGCCAGGACATTTTCCAATAGTCTTTATC